CGGCTTAGTTGCCTTAGCTCATCCTTGTGATTATTAACCAGGCAGCCTTTTTCTCACAGGAGCTCTTAACTGCAGACCAAAGGCTGATTTCATAATAAACCATGGAGTAAGCTAATCTCCGAGAGTTACTGTTCCTTTTTTTCAGACTGCTCTCAAGAGCTTCATTAAAAGGGCATGATCTTATGTTACACAGATTCGAACAGGCCTTGGCGAAAGATTCTCGTTAGTCACTATTGAAACCAGCTCCTCAAAAATAATTTTGGGCTCTGTATTAAATCAGCAGTCTACATAGCAAAGAAAAAAAAAACGTCTTTAAGATGTTTTTTAGGGCTTTTCAGGGCACACGTGGTCAAATATATCTAGATATTGTTTCATGCGTTTGAGGTATACGTAATTTATCCTGCGCAGTTTAACCCGCCTCAAAACTGGACACATCCCTCGCAGAACGAGACAAACTGAGCACGCCTCGTGTGTTTATCAAGTATCCAGAATATATTTGACTACTATTTTGCCCATGTCTGCTTCGGAGCGAGCCTCTGTGGTGCAGGGCTGGTCTGGTAATAGCCTGTGTGCTCTGCTGAGCTGAGATTAATGTGAAGACTTATTGATGTAATGATGGAGCCATGAAAGAGCACTCTGGGCCGTGGTTTGGGCCCAACACATGAGCCTAATGGACTCTGTGTGTATGTTTATGTGCGTGCGTTGTGTCTGCATGCGTTACATCTATGTGTGTGTGTGTGTGTGTGTGTGTGTGAATGTGGTTTTGGACAGAAACAGATGAAATTAATCGAGAGCTTTTGCGTTCAGTCTGAGTCTGTATATTTCTGTAAGATTCCCTTGCTCATAGGAAATACGTGACTTTAGGTGTGTGTTGATAAGTTGGTGTGTGTGCACGTGTGTGTGTGACCTCAGACTTCCCTCAACTTGTTGTACATGCATGCTCCTGTGTGTCTCCGTACATGTGTGTTTTATATCGTGGTTCTTTGCTGCCCATTGCTGCGCGGTTAAAGGGCAGAGCGGCTCATACTGACACCGTGGGACGGCATGGTTGGAGGCAGCGTGGGGGGAGGCTGTGTAAATACGAGCAAAATTAAAGTGGTACCTTTACAACTAGTGCCCTGCAGTGTGTATGTGTGTGTGTAGGTGTATCTGTGTCTCCGCGGATTCTCCGGTGAGGCCCAGCAGGTGCTGACAGGACCCCCTTCATCTCTCCACTCCCCCTACAAACCCTGTTTTTTGTGTGTATGTCAGGGACTATGTGTGTGTGTGTGTGCCAGCGGGCTTGATGTGCTCAGTGTGGGTCTGATGTTAAAGTGATTGACAGCCGAGCAGTCACAAGGGCGATTGAGAGCAGTTGTGGGAAGAAAGGGACCTTACAGCCTCACAGCTTTCAGCCCTGAGGGGAAGAGACAGACACATACAGAGAGCGAAGGAAGAGAGAATCTAAACAGATTAATAGAATACACACAGACGAGGTTCGAGTGAATAAACGAGCACAAAACAGTTGCAGCATGAAAGATGTCCTGAATGTGTGGCTCTCACACAGACTTATTGGTTGGTTAAACAGCAATGGACAAGATAAAATTGAACTTTCTCTTGATAAAAAGCAGTCTCGCTGCTTCATAATCACCCTGCCTGTTCCCTGATCTCATGGGTTGGAAACCCTGGGGACCGTGGAGGTTTATGGGAAATGGCTCATACTCAGGGAGTGATGTCATACGTAGGAGACAGACCAAGCTCTCCCTGGCTGATACGGCGAAGGGAGGGCAAATATGAGTTACAGGATCGGAAACACCAAAGACTCCTTAATTAAGCCGGGCAGTGACGTCTTTCAGGCCCATCGTATTCCCCTGAGGTCTCATTGTTAGTTCATACGCACAGAGCTCAGAGAGGGCGCTGCCTTGTTTCAAAAACATCTAGTAGAAGCAGGGCCGGCCTTAGACTTTTGGGGACCCTAAACCAGGGTCTTCTTTTATAGATATATACACCTAACTCTAAGGCTGTAGTCTCCTGGTCGACTAGTCGATTATTTGGTCGCTCTGCTCTCATCCGACCAAATTCTCATTAGTCAAATAATCGCCGTGTTACTTTCATAAGGAGAAAAGTGCTACATCAGCAGCTTTCCAGGATTAATCCATTATTTCCTGCGGCGGGGGGGACAGGCTAAGTTAGCTGTGAAAATGTTTTCAAAACACCCCCGTTGTTGACAGAAAGTTGAACTCGCCCACCCTCACGCTCAGCGTCGCGGTGAAGCAGACCTCCTGTCTGTGTCTGTCAGCTGACACCATTTCCCTCAGTGGAAACGAAGCTTGTATTTACTTGTATTCACTGATAAGAAACAATAAATTGTGAAGACAATAAAATCTCCACTAAAATAGCATTTTAAGTTGTGTGTGTGATTTATCCTTCAGCGATTTATACTTCGGGATTTATCCTGGCTTCATATGAACAGAGGAAATCTCTGCTCGTTGCTAGGCTAATGTATACAATTTAAAATGCCATAGGCTGGCGCTAATAACGTTAGCATGTTGTATTTGCTTGGAAAACGTGTTTAGTATAAGACAGTTGTTTTGTCTGTGAATGTTGTGAGTTGTAATGGAGCTGAATTATGTACCGTTACCTTTGTTACATGTTGCTGTTGTCCCTGGCTGTATATGAGAAGAGGAAAAGATCGCTAGACGCTAGGCTAATTTGTACAATGTAAAACTCCATAGACTTGTGCTAATAACGTTAGCATGTTGTATTTGTGGGGGAAATGTGTCCAGATAAAAACAAGTGTTTGTCTGCCAGTTTTGCGATTTATAGTGAAGCCAATTTGCTTACTTGTGTTTGAAATTGTCTCTATTAAGCCATGTTTAATGTGTGTTTAATGTGTTTTGAATCAACTATGTATAATAAACTATACAGCACTTAACACAGTCCTCCAACGCCAACTAGTGTTTTGGAGGTGTAACTGCAGAGTGACACAGACACACCACCTCAGAAGTAAAAATAACGTACAGATTTTTTTTTTTTTCCTCACGACTAATCGATTAGTTGAAGATTATGTGCGACTTTAATCGACCAAGATTTTCTTTGGTTGACTACAGCTCTACCTAACTCATGACTTGGGTAGTTTTTTCCAGAAGTCTTCCTTGGACACCTCCTTCACTCATATTCCATAAGACACTCTAACAACCTTTATCCTCAATATTGTCAGACTTCCCTTGATTAATATTCATTGAAATACAGAGGACCATCTATTTGGAACCAACACGTTGACATAGGACATGCAAGGTACCCTGGGTGTGTTGGTTGTTGACGCTCTGGGACGCTGTGACAACTTCTGCCTGTGACATGCATTGTCTGATTTCAAAATACACTTCTGTTGTTACATGTAATGCACAATTTGCATACAGCCTCTTTCAAAATAAAAGCACTACGTCGGTACAACTCCATGAATTGATGTTTTTTTCCTTCAACAACACACATGGTTAGGTTTAGGTAAAAAGAACAGGATTTGGCATTACAAATTACGGGAAGCAAACGCCAGGTTCCTGGTGAAAGTTGGTGGCTGTTTGACCCATTCACCACCCCTGCCACCTGCCCTACTCAGACTTCCGCCCTCTTAACTTACGTTGTTGTCCTGCCCGGTTTCCCCCCTACGATGCTGGGTGCTGTTTAACAATAATGGGGACTGGCCAGCATGCCAGTGTGAAAGGACAGCTTTTTTTGTTGGTGTCTGACACCTGAAATCACTGACCAAGTGCTGGTACTCAACGACTTCAGTGTGAGACCGGATTGTTGGAATGACCTACTTCCATTGCTACGATCAACATCAGCATTATTGTTATTTAAAAAACATCTGAAAAGGACGCTAATTTAGAAAGACTCTTTTGTAATTCATTTTAGCTTGTAAAAATGTTTTAGTAACTTGTACATTTCTATTAACGTTGTATCACTGCTCACCTTTATACTTTGATCAATTATGCACTCTGTATTTATCAGCTTCTTTTTTTATGTATCAGGGAGGTATCTTCATAAGACATTTTAGCTTCTAACCTCTCCCACACAATGTTTAAACTTAATAAATTCTTACTGTCTTGTCTTCACACATGTATGTGCAAATAAATTAGCTAGGCAGGATTTGGTTTGAAGAAAAGAAAAGCAAACAAATCATGACGGAGATGGGTTTGCATTTTTGAGGGCATATAGCCCAAAGTGAATGGCGAGATTTTTAATTTACTGTGAGTTCTTCTTTGAACACAGGTGTAGCTACGAGGTGGCAATGTGCACTGTCTATATTTACACCCCTGGTCATCATTTGCCAAAATAGCAAAAAATCCTATACTAACGTCAAATATAGCCTAGTGATACCAACACGTAATGTAAGTCTTGGCTGATTGTGAATTTTTGGATAGTATTTTTAAATATTTCCACATGTCGGTTATAAGGTTATAGAGAATCTTTAATATCCAACGCCACGACATTTTTCTGTCATGCAGTCCAAGACACTTGTGGTGCTGTTTTATCTCATACGATATGAAGTGTCATTCATGGTTCTGATGATGTTCATAATTAAGACCCCGTGTCTTTCACATGAACACGCTTAGATAGGAAAACCCAGAGTTGACTGAACTAGTTGATAAGCAGCTTTGTAGTAACACTTATCCAGCCGCCAATGTGACGGGTTAGTCAAACCAGATAACTTGTTTGGGAAATTTTTAGAGGTTGAATTTTTGTTTTGTTATTGTCCCGTGTTCATAAAAAAAAAAGCTATTTATTGTATCACTTAATGGGTTGGGCTGGCTCTGAATAGAAGAAAAATAATTCAGCTGAATCTCGTCCGGAGTTTATCAACACTCCCCTGTCTCCCAACCACCCTGAACTCTGCAGTTTCTTTCTTAATATATAGTATCTAATAAAACAGAGAAGCCCCTCAAAAAAATCATTTAGAAAATTAAATAATTTATTATAATTTGTTCTGTGTGACCGCCACACAACCTCTTCCTCTGTTACAGACAGCCAGAGCTGAAGCTCCAAGGAGGCCGACGTAAACCAGGCATGAACTAACAGGCTGTTACGCATCACTACAGTCCTTGGAGCAGAGAGCGGTGTATTCATGCAGGTAAGTGAATAAAATATCCTTTTCCTCTTTCCAGGCATTTTTCCTGTGTTTATGTGAGCATGTATGCAGCAGAGACAACCGCCGTGTCTCTGCCAGGGCAGCACAGGAGAGAGCGGGCCGGTGGCCATCTGGGTTTAGAGGTGTCTTTAAATGGCGGAGGTGTAAATCTACTGCCCATGTGCCGGAGGGGACGTCAGTTTCTCTCTGGCCCGCAGACCCACTCACAGATCAATAAAGTTAACTCAAAACATTCACACTCTGCCATCTGAAATCAACCATTTAATGAGTTGCTGTTCCTGTAAAAGTGGAAAAGGCCCCTTCAGATTTATTAGAATAGAGAGAGAGTAGAATTCCAGAGAGGAAGAAGAAGGAGGAGGAGGAGGAAAGGAGGCAGAACTATAGATTTTCTGTTTGGATTCATTTCAGGCCAAACATTTAGGAGCCACAGCATCTCTACGGAACACACAAATAAACAATGAAAATAGCTTCTTGATCTGCTTTTTATGAGCGTGCATACTTAAATAGAGGTGATTGGATGCCTTTGGTAAACCATAGTAAGCATGGAAAGTCTCCACACTATAAATGCAACGTTAGGTCATGTAATTTCACTTAGAATACCAAATGAGATCCAAAAGCGGAACTGCTTTCAGAAATAATTTCGCCAGCAGTAAAATAGCTCCTCGGCATGTTTCGGCAAAGGGCCATAAACTTTTTTTACAAACAAATGCTGAGTAAGAGAGCGAAGCACCTCTGTTTCTGCAGGCCTCTGAAATAACTCACAGTCCCGATGATGTGTGGAAGACGTTCTGGCAAACCGTTAATACATTTACAAAGACTTTTGAGACATGGCCCTCCTGCTTGTATCCGTTTAACAAGAGAAGTGTGGAAAATTGATATTCCTGATGTGCTTGTGTTTACTTAAAGGTCCAGTGTGCAGGATTTAGGGGGATATGTTGGCAAAAATGGGCTATAATATAATAAGTATGTTTTTTTAGTGTATAATCACCTGAAAATAAGAATAGTTGTGTTTTCGTTACCTTAGAACGAGACGTTTATATCTCCACAGTGGGGGTGTAAATCACTAGTTTAATCGCAGTACAATATTAAATCAACTTTTTGGACAACGATATAATATTTGCTGATATCACACAGTCTGCCATGATACGATTTCAAATACGATGCAATTCAGGAGCCTCTGATTGATGTGAGATGATATCATGTTACAAAATAAGCAGTCATCCCTTTCTTTTTTGTCTTTGGTCCTTTGTGGAAGAAATCTTTTTATTTCAACCCAAACCAACTGATCTTTTTCTTGAAACTGAAGGACTATCTGGCTTGAAGTAGGGCTGGGCGGTATACTGGTTCGTACCGAAAACCGGTATTTATTTTCGTTATGATATGAATTTTTCATATACCGCAATACCGGTGAATAGCCCAAACAACGTCCGGAACGTGCGCGGCAGGAAAGTGTTTCAGCGGGGATCCATTTCACTGCTGCACACCACAGGCGTGCTACAGCCGGCGAGGATGAGAGTATAGAGAAAAGTCTAGAGGTGAGAATGGCTGCTGGAGAGAGTCCTGAAAGCGAAGCAACTGTACACGATGACCCAGAAGAACTCATACCAAAAACAGCAGTGTTTCCTCTACATGCAACTAGCAGCGGTGCACTGCCGTTTACAATTCTCCTCTGATCTCTTTATCGTGCACGGCGGAGTTTCGCCCCGATACGCCATAGCACAACACAGCAGCATGTCAAGTGGGCCGAACCCGAGCAAAATACCGTCACATATACCAAATACCATTAAACCGATATGATTTTTTTTAAAAATACTGTGATATGAAAATTTTGTCATACTGCCCAGCCCTAGCTTGAAGGCAGACGTCTCCCAACACAACTTATAGAAAACCCCCCACACACTGTCTAAAGGTTTTTGCACACTGAGTCCGTTTATTCATCCGAAATTGTGGCATGTCTAAAAATAAATACGACCTCAAGTTGTGTCAGTCATGTTTACACAGAGTCCAAAACATTTGTCCGCCATTAAATTTTTCAGGTTTGATTTTCTGCGTTTTTTAAAATCCGTCAGAGCCTGTAGAGACGTTTGAACAATAATCAGTTAAGAAAATGTGGCGGCGGGACACAGCTGCGTCAAGACAGAGGAACGGGGCGCACAGAATCATTTCATAACTCAGATAGGAACTCTCAACAGGTCAGATAGTAATATTCAGGTGGATGATGAAGAGGAGGAGGAGGAGGATGTGGACAGCACACAGAATGATGAGCATAGCTCTGCCCCTTCCTACAACTGTGGCGCCAAATGAAATACAGGGAGGGAGTGGTGACAGCTAGATAGGTAACTCCAGAGGAGAGAGGTAAAGGAGGAAATGTGTCTTTTCATTTTGTCACGCATTGTGAATTTTCACAATGAATAGAACAATAAAACCCATTTGATTTTATAATTCCAAAATAAAGGCGTGTCGTAAAGATGATGATATGTATTGATGCTTTCACTCTGCATTGATGATATAAGTCTCTTACACAGACGCCAATGACGTCAGTACGCTGGCTGACTCTGTCGTCTGTGGACATTCACATAGGAAAGTTGCAATCGAACTAGCGCTGGCTCCCAGAGGCAATGATGTGATTGGATCCAAATCCGTGTACTTCCGTACTTCCTCGACCAACGGCTGATTGCTTTGCCTTACACCCGCCTACACCGGAATTACTGTTCCCCGAATTGTTGTCCGTAGTACAACAGAAAAGGAAGTGTTCAGTGCATCGCAAGAAGAGATTAAAATGGATATGATTTCATTTGATTCAGCTATATTGCAGAGCTGCAACGTCTCTGTTACATGTAACACACGTGCTGTACCTATGGCAACGCCGTCACGTGGTCTGGATATCCCCTCCCATTTCTATTACAAAATGAAAGACGGATGTCCCCAGACTCCCATTCCGAAGTAAGGGAGGCTGGTCACGCGAGACTGCGATGATATTGGATTGTTGATCATTGCATTGATATACTGATCTAGACTGATGGACCCCTACTACATATGGGAGTGGGTATTCATCTGTGGAGATCGCCATCTTGTACTGCCACATTTCCACAGCAGCATCGGAAAAACACAGATTTATGTAACTTGAAGCTGCTTTATGTAGTGTTTTAAATCACAGAGTCCGTTAGCTTTGGAGAGGGAGAGACCTCTGCGGATAATTCAGCTCCCAGTAAAAACCTCCTGAACAATGAGTACTGAAGAAATCCTAACTGGGAGTTCCGGCTCGGCACATGGGAGAAGTTTCAGCTGGTTGCAATCTGCAATTCTCACCACTAGAGGCCGCTAAATCTTACACACTGTTCCTTTAAGTGAACCACTTTATGTCTGTGTAACTGAGCTGAAGGATTTGGCTGAGAGATGCATGCAGGTTGATGGAGCATCAGCAGCATTGTTTAATGACGCATACTGGAACCAACGCTGGATTATTTTTGCCCCTTCCTCTTTTACGTGTAGTGTGTCCTGAGTTTGGACGTCCCGGCTCACTCCTGGTTTTCCTGAGCTCCTCCTTCATCCGCTCCTTGGACACGGCCCATAAACTCACCTCGTCATGTCCATCCAAACGCTGCTGTCTACCTGAAAATCATCTGATGATTGGTTTATGCTGATGGAGTGCATATTAAGTGTTCCATTTACTCTCCGCTTCCCCCGATCTCTCGCCCTCCACTGCTGGCCACGCGTCCCCCGGGGGCCACACAGGAAGAGGAAGGAAGACAGATGAAATTGTCCTTTTTATGGCGATGTCTTACTTTTGGGGTTTACATTACAACATTATGAGGTAAATCCCTCCAGCAGCTGCCAGACAGAGCGGAGTTTCATGAGATTGTGTTACCTGCACACTCTGCTTTATGGTGGCTGCAAAGAAAATCCTACATGTTAACAAGCACGCATGGAAAGAATTAGACTGGGGACTCCTTGCAGGGTGCCGTGTCTCATCAGGTGTGACGTTGCGGGGCTAAATCTGCGCATGCATCCGGACACACGGTGTGACAGGTGTTGACAGTTGACAGCACAGGTCAGGAGCATGCGCTGTATGGGGCTGTGACCAGTGTACCTGGGTGTGGAGACGACTCGGGTGTGCAGGATTATTTGAAGAGCCTCTCTGAGCGGGATAGGTGGCTGAGCATGTGTGAGGCTCTGGTGTGTTTGTGCTGGTAATGGGTTGTTTGTGCGAGTGTGTGAGCCTGTGTGTTTATGCTGCTAATGTGGGTTTAATTTGACAAGTGGTTGGCGGATTTGTCAGCGCTCAGCTGGGATGGAGGGAATCGGGCTCTGTATATTTTGGGTAAACATGAAGAAATTCACTCCAGGTTTCCGCTCTTTCTCTAACTGCCTGTATGTACATCTTATTAGTTTGATGTGATCATGTAAACCAAAGATGTTATTGTGCATTCAAAAAGACTTTTTTTCTGTTAGAGAAAAGTTCCAACATTTTTGGAAATTCAGTTTCTTTCTCAGAGTTAGATTACAAGATTGATAGTGCGGTGTAGGGCAGTATGGAGCTAGAGTTCATTGGCATTTAAAGGCACTGTATGTAAGAATGTGGCCAAAACGGTTACTGCACTCAAATTCAAAATACTGCCGCGAGTCGTGTCCGCCCCCCATCCCCTACAGATTCGAGGTTGCTGGAAAGCGGCACGCTGGAGACTGATTTGTTTGCCCAAGGGCGGCTGCCGTGGCAGGGCCACGTCGCCGCGTCCTTGATCTTCGGTTTTCCAGCGGACAGTTCGAGCAAGTCCAGCTTCTCTGCTGCTAACGCTGCTGCCGGGATACAGCAGAGGAGGAGCCGGCTGCTAATGCTATGTACCGGGACACTGCTAATGCTGCTTGCCGTGCTGCTGTAGCTCAGTCGTAACTGTAACTGATGCTGAGACTCTACTGACTGCGTGACTGGTAGACGGCGGTGGGTGGCGCAACAGGCCAAAACACAAATTCAAAACATAAAC